GGAGTTTTATTATCTTTGTAAAATCCCCAAATATTTAGAAAGTGAAATATTATTTCTGTAAGTAGTATTGGTAAAGGACAAGATATGTTGATACCGCCTAGTCTTAAAAGAATTCATAGTGCTACCAATATGGAATTTTTCAACTGACAGATTCTCTATTGTAGACATAGTACTAAGATAAACCGGAGATTTAGTTAAACATTTGTTTAGCAATGGGCATTGGTCAGAATTCCTACAATTGGCCAATATCATTAATATTTGTCTTGGAATGTGTATTATGATCCAGATTATTAAATTGGTTTAAAATTTTATTACTGTAACTTTATAATCTTCTTAAGATTATTGGTGAAGCTATAATTTAGTTTTAATGTTTCTGTTAAATATTTTACTAAGAGGGTTACTTTTAGAAAGTGTTTACCAAACATTTTCCAGTTTAACAGTTGCATATTAATTTACCAAATAATTTTATATGTTTAAATTATTTACTAGTTTCTTAAAGAAGCTATTTATTTATCAACTACAAAAAAAATTATGTAGGAAATTCACAAAATTTTTATAATATTTTTTAAGTTTATATTTTATTTCATTTATATTTGTTTATTTTTTGTTAGTCCTTAGATGGCAAAGTAAATATTTATATGCCTACATTTAGCAATTATTTCAGTTTTCTTGTTTAAGAGTTTATTTTGGTTTTTAAAATAAATTATTGCTGATTTTTCCTCTAAGCATAATTTACAATTTTTGCTGTTAATACTGTATGAGGCTACTCTTTTTATAATTTCCCATTTGATTTTGGTAGGAATATTGTTTTCCTTTTGGCTCCATATGTATTTTGATAGGGTTGTATTGTTTATGTATTTTCTTTTCTTTCAAATGACATTTTGTGGTTATAATATCTTTCTTTTAAAAGTTTTTTCTGTGGCCCTTATGTAAATTTTTTTCATTTGTGTTAATGTTGTTATTTACGATGGCTTTGTATATTATGTTGTTGGTTAAGCATTTATAGTTAAGTAAGCAATTTTTTTTATTTCTGCAGTTACATTTAATGGTGTTATTTTGCTGTATGTTGTAATTGTTATTGGTTTTGTTGAATTTTTTTGTGCTTAGTTATTGTGTTGGAATGCGTCACGAAGAAATAAATGATTTTGTCTCTTTCTCTCCTGCTGTCGTAGCGATGGACACAGTCTCCACTCCCAAGACTGAAAACTCACTTCCTTCTCATTCCAGCCCTTTACATAGAACTTGGTAACTCACCTATGCAAAACACCAACAAACCAGCTACCAATCACAGTTCCTGCACCTGCCCGCCTCCACTTACTTTTGGGGTGTCAAGTTGACCGACCAACTCATTACAGTTATTTTCTCCATGTTATTGATGCAGCTGTAACTAATTTTGATTGTATTTTTGTTGATAATTTTTGATAATGTGCTGTTTTTAAGGAAGGGTTTGTTAATTTTCTTGAATATTTTCCTTATTTTTGTTTTTTATTGTATTTTTTTTAGGGAGGTGTTGAACCAAATTTTATTTCTTTTTCTCATTTTGTTTGAATTATTTATACAGGATAAATTGTCTAAATTACGCAAAAATGAAAATAACATTGACATTAAAATTAAGATATATTTACCAAAATTACACAAAAATATCTTGAAATACTAAAGAGTAAATTTATTCAATAAAATCACCTTTACATTCAGCCACGGCCTCCAGACAACTTTGGAATCCTCTGCATCTCTTCTGGATGGTCTCCTTGTTTAAGTTAGTGAATGCTACCATAATCTTTGCCTTCAGTTCATCTTTGGTGTTACTCGGAGTTTTGTTGGTCTCCCACTCAGTTGCACCCCACACATAATAAACAAGGGGGTTTCAGTCTAGGAAGTTAGGTGGCTAGATGTAAAGGGTGATGTGGTCGCAGAAATTGTCTGACAGCCATGACTGGGTTCTCCAGCTTGTGTGGCATGGTGCAAAATCATTGTTGCTAGACATAGTCTTCCAGCAGCCACCCTCTTGACTCAGGGCAGCAGTACCTTCTCAAAGCACTTGATATAGTTCACTGTGTTGAGTCTGAGGCCCTGTGGGAAGATGAATGGAGGCATAATTTTGCTATCATTAGTGATCACTCCAAACACCATGATGTTGCCTGGATATTTGGCTTTCATCACTCTCTGTACACCTTTTAGGGACACAGCATCCACTGCACTTTTCTCATATTGACACCCAAACATTCCGAAATATTCATGTTGGAGCTTCCCGCATAAATGCCAAGCAGTACAGCATGCTGTTTCCAAATTTCTGGCAATGTGAATTGCATCATGGTACTCTTTTTCTCACAGGTGGTACCCAACTGACCCTACTATACTGTGCAGTCATCAAAAACAATGCGCATGTGTGAAATTAAAAATATAAAATGGCGACTATTTACCCATCACATCCTGTGTGTGTGTGTGTGTGTGTTAGGCTTCTCTGTCATGCATTGTTGTCCACCAAAGTCAAATTCATGTGAATGGCCTTATCAAACTCTTTTTGATTCACAGTCATCTCTGCCATGGCCACCAGGGGAGAGGAAGGGAATAGGGAGAGAGAGGATGATTATTCCGATGCTCAGATATCAGCAGGTGTCAACAACAAGAATAAATATGAATAAAAGAAAGTTTTGTCAACTCATACATATTAGTCCATTTTTATTTAAGAGATAAATTGAAATTAGACATGGAAGTTCGTGGATTAGTTTCACCATAACCTACTTGTAGAAATGATCTTAACTGAATGACATACTCACAGGACATAGACATGATTTAACCTAATCCCAGAATGAGCAAGGCCAGAAAGATGCACTCACTTTCTGGTTTAGTTTTTTTTTTTTCCTCAGGTGTGAGTAGCAAAACCATACCAAAAATATGTGAATTCTGAACAGAGGGGGGCAGCATCATGTGAAAATTCAAGGTACTCAGAGATAATGCAAAACCAAACTAAAAAAGATAGTAACCAACCAAGAAGAATGTTACATTAAATCATTTCCCAATTTAATGTTAGTGCTGCCCAAATATTAAAATAATCCAGAATCTATACTGGCAGCAAACTGTCTGCATACAGATAAAAAATGAGTTCAGTAAATATAGAAAAATAAAAAGGGGTCTAAGACAAGGATGTGCCTTCTTACTGGACTTCTCACAACCTATACAGTGAGGCAATTCTGAGAGAATTAGAAGTTCCATGAGGATTCATTATTGGGAACCACAATCTTAACAACACAAGATATGCAGACAATGCAGTGTTGATAACAGGTGCAGAAAGGAAACTAGAAGAATTCTTACAGACAGTAGTAAAGGAAAGTGAGAAAAAAGGACTACACCTCAATTGGAAGAAGATAGAATGCATGGCTGTTAGCAAAAGGATGGGTCCAGCATGCAAATTACAAATTGGAGATACCAAAATCAACCAAGTACAACAATTTAAATATCTAGGAAGTGTTTTAACAGAGGAAAGAAAGTGTAACATTGAAATCCAAAGGTGTATTGGTATAACAAAAGATGCATTCCAAAAGCTAAGCAGAGTATTAAGAAACAGGAAAATTTCATTAGAAACAAGAGTACTGAACTGTTATATAATATCAGTAATATGGTAAAGAATGTAGTACAATCTCCTCACAGATGAAGGAGAGACTTGAAGCAACAGAAATGTGGTTCTACAGAAGGATATTGAGAATACCATGGACTAAACACATGAGCAACAACAAAGATTTAGAGAAAATGAAAACAAAAAGGACACATACTTGACACCAGGAAGAGACAGTTGAAATTTATTGGGCACATAATGAGGAAAGAGGGCTTGGAAAATTTGATACTCACAAGACACATTGAAAGCAGGAGAGACAGAAGAAAGATTTAAAGAGCTTGAGTCAATGGGTGGCAGAACAGGATTTAGAAGAAATACCAAAAACAAAATATATTAAGAGTTAAAAAAGACAGGAAATTGTGGAGAGCCATGATTGACTACGTTCTGAAGGGACCCAAGACAGAAGAAGCTGTTTAAATGGTCAATAAATGCACTGTGTAGCATACATTACATTTTATGGAGTTTCATAATTTTCAACCAACATGTGAATCATTACTGACATTATAGCATTGGTTATTGAACTAGTATAGTTCTAGAGAACAGTGCCCCTGGGGCATTGAAAACTAATGCCATGTTGCTTGGTCAGATACTCTTTCAGAGGTTATTGAGAGTGAAAGACAAGGAGAAAACCTTAGTAGCTCTCATATAGGGTACAGCAGAAATACCTCCCACATTTTAAAACTTGACAAAACAATTAAGGTAACTGCTATTAAAAAGTTATTTCACTATTGTTTAAATGAAGACCTACAGTTTTACTCATTTAGTTTTTAAAATAACATACTCCAAATAATCTTTTTTTTTTGTTTAATTCATGAAGGTTTGGAAAATTTGATCCTTACAAGACAGATTGAAAGCAAGATGGACAGAGGAAAACAACATAATCTGCTTAGTGAGCTTGAGTAAATGGATGGTAGAACAAAGTTTAGGAGAGATAACAAAAAGACAATATTTATTAAGAGCTACAAAGGACAGGAAATTGTAGAGAGCCATGATCGCTTGTGTTTGGAAGGGGCACAGCATATAAAAGAAGAATGATGAAATTGAAAAAAAAAAAAAAACCTATGTAATGCATTTTGTCCTCCAAAAGGACTTCAGATTAAATGTTTTTATTGATGGAATCATATATATGTAGTGAGAGGGAAGGAAGATACCAACAAATGTTGGTTATATAAATAAATATGAAGAAAAAACTGAAGATGCAGCAGCTCTTTAAATTTAGATTTAAATTGTAAATTTCTGTTATCCAATTTATCTAAATGTAGAGTCTAGTCAACTTCATTCAGCTGCTTACAACTTTGTACATTTGTGTACACTGTACAACAACTTTGTACACAATATTTCCAGTATGTTAATGATATATATATATATATATATTTTTTTTAATCAGGTTCCCGTAACTATGTTGCTGAGAAAAACCAGATTGATGATTCAGATGATTCCAAACCAGAAACCGCCATTCAGGCCGAGCACAAGGCAACATATTTTGAAGAGAAAATATCTATACCTGATCCTGATAATGTAAGTGATATTGTCTCTTTCATAGAATGTAAAACTATCATCTATACTCAATGTTATAGAACTGTGCATTGGTCGTTAGTAACCACTTCGTCCCTTCATGGAATGAACAAGTAGTTTTTTTTTGTTTATGATTTTAAAGTTTGGCACTGAAAATCTGATAGTTAAAATCCATCATAAGTAGTAGAGAAAAACAATTTCTGTTACACTTTATACTACTGGAACGTGGAAAAAGTGCGTGTGTAAAAATTTCAGATAGAGTATATCTGTAAAATAACAATATGAATAAAGACAAAAGGAAAACTTAGCTGATATGTTTTGTCCTTTGAGAGACTTTATCAAGCCATATGATTAAGTCCCTCAGAAGATGAAATGCATCAGCTAAGATATTATATAATAATAATAAATATATTTTTTTTTCCTCACCAATAGCACAACACCGAGTTTCATGGACAATGCAATCGTCAGAATGAAATCAGTATCTGATTTCATGCATGTAATTTGGTTGTGTTGCTGGTGAGGGGGGGAAAAAAATTTAATATTAATATAAATTTTATTTCTGTTATTATATATCAAGCACTGCTTTATTAGCACCAGTATGAATATATATATATATATATATATATATATATTATAAATTAATTGATTTAAAATGTTTTTTTTTCACTACACAGTTCTAACCATTTTTTCAAAAATGGAAGCTAAAAACTTTGAATTTAATTTTGTAATTAAATTAAAGACATTAGTTCCATTTCATCATCAAGCGAATTTTGGAGTAACTTATTTTAAAATTACTTTTTAATTTTAAAGGCACAGCAAAAATTCATAATTCACGTTTCCAAGGATACAGAGAAATCCATTCATCCAGACAAGGGGGTGGTTGCGTGTTCATTATCACTGTATTTTGTTGTATCAGTTATTAGTTACGTTTGAAGAAGGGTTTTCGTTTAGGTAGGGGTAGGGATGTATTTTTCAATGAATTCTGACATCTGTTAAATGCATGTCATCTGGATTTTTAAAAAATTTTTATTGTTAACGGTAAAAATTCTTACGCCATTTTTTCTATTTGTATACCTAAAGATTTTTTGGGGGGGTATTTAGGTTAGAATACGTTTTATTTAACTACGATTTTAAAAAATATTTTCACTTTTAATTTTTAATATACTATATTATATATCTTACTGTTCTTTCTTTTTATTTATATATATATATATAACCTTTTGCTTAAAGTTCACATTGATTTCATATGAAACCTTGGAAATTTTCCAATACAATTCAGTGAACTTTTCATATTACTAAATTATGCTCTATAATTATAGTTTAGATGTATGAAAAAGGTGTCAGTTTAAACAGACACAAAGAGGATATAGATTAAAACATATGATCTATATTGGAATATGTTCTGTCCAGAACTCAAGGCACTATAAAATGATAAAAAGGTATCCAATACTGAAAAAAGGCATTTATTATTTTTTTTTAATTACTTCACAGGGTTATGAACAATGAGAAGTTTAAAAAGTTATCAAAGGACAGTTAGTCACTCAGAATGTACTTTAAAATTGAAAAGTTCCATTCCACATCAACTGATGTTGCTGGGACAAACTTCATGCAAGCCACAACTTGCAGGCCAATTTCAATGTTAGCAGTATCAATGCTGAAGATGGCTGAAATAGCTTTTAAAATCATTGGAGCTGGGTTTGCTGCCATAAGTTTCACATTTTTTAAAAATATCATCTCTTTTTGTTTCTGGCATGGACTTTAGCTTAAGTTTTAGTTTGTTTACCCTGTCAAATAGTGACAAGCAGTATATTCTGTTTTTCAAAGAATATAAAATCTGGCAAGTCAGTTTAAGATATAATTAAAGTATGGTGTAACTAACTAAAAATATATTTTTTGCAATGTTTCCTAAGTACTCGCAATAAGACAGTGTCAGAACGTGTCCCCCCCCCCCATGATACCACTTTTTTAACTACTATCACTCTTTGGCAATGTTTGTTTTAAAAAGTGATAATTAGCATTGGAATAAAACTTAATCCTATGATGAAAGTGAATTTGTACATTTTTTTTTATTATATTATTTAATGGAATGGTTGACAAAACATTGGTTAATTGCCAATTGATTCAAACTTTATAAAATGGTAAAAATAAGGATTTCCTTATAGTTAGTTCACACATTTTAATAATTTAGTAGGTTTTTATAAATTCATGAATAAAAAATTGTTTTCACATTTATTTCTTTCAAAATTGGTAAATGATAAATATTGCATTGTATTATTTCTAATTGTATTAATTTTGCAAATGTTGTGAGAATAAAATTATTCTTGTAAATAAACAATCTAATAAATATTGTTTTATATTTTTGTCAATTCTCAAGAACAAAAAAAAATGTATAACTTCACTTTCATATGTTTAGGTTTTATTCCAATTCTAATCATTGCTTTTTAAAATGATAAACATCACTAAAGAGTGATGGTAGCTAAAAAAGTCATGGAAAAATAACTGTCCTTTTGACACTACATCTTAATGTGGGCACCAAAGTTCATGTTTACTACATATTCAATATAAAGTTTATTCATAAATAAGTGCTGAAAATTTCATTTAAATCAGAGAATTCCCTGAATTTTGGTAAGTTTGAAAAATGGTCATTTTCTTTCTTTTTTTTTTTCTTTTTTGCATTAATTTTTTGAAAAGTTTTGATACCCATACTTTGGCCCTACTTAATTAACAGAGAGTTAATTAGACATCTTCCCTAGTCATGTGGTATGTTGCCATTATGATGGCAAAACTTGTAAACATTTTCTGGTGCTGAATATTAGTGTTAAAAAAAAAAAAGAAGTCATTTATAGCATTTGGCCTGATCTTCCAGTTTATACACATGACCATTTGTAAGATATTAAACAAATGTTAAAAGTTAAATTTAAATTGATAGCAATCCTAAACCACTGACTCTAAATATTTGAGTTCTGTAAATATTATTCATTTTATTCTTCAAATACACTACATATTTATAGATAGATACTGAATTAAAAAAAAAATCTTATTCACATCTTGCCCTTTATTTTCTTCATTATGAATTGGTGCATTTTTGTATCCAAATAACTTCAAATTTGATTAGTATGAAAATTTAAGAATGTACATTGATATTAAGATTATGAATAAGTATTTTAACATAATTTTCTTTTTGTTTTCATTTCAGTATAGTTTCAGCTTCCGTAAATTATGGGCATTTACAGGTCCAGGATTTTTGATGAGCATTGCTTATTTAGATCCTGGTAATATTGAATCTGACTTACAGACTGGTGCTAAAGCAAACTTTAAGGTAAGGAAATAAATTTAAGATATACATTTTATCTATATAAGAAATAATAGCTAAATGCTTAGAAGTTGAATAAATTGATCAATTAGTCAAATTACCAGCATTTCCTATGAACACGGCTTTCTATATTTTTCTTTCTTTTCTTCACTTTAAGCTCCTTAAAGTTTTTAATTTTTTTTTTATTATTATGTGTTGTTTTTTCTCCCCAAATTTTATATAATTTTTCCCCCAGATTTTGCAATATTTTCTCAAATTTTGATACATTTTTATTTTCTCAAATTTTACTAATGAAAGTGTGTGTTATTTTTTTTTTTTTTTTTTTAATTTTTTGTGTGTGCGTGATTTTAGTAACATGTCAACATATATGCCATGAATTTGAATTATTTTTCCCAGTTTTCTATTTAGACATTTCTGGTACAACTGATTAATTGTTGTTAATATGTATTTATTTTATTTTTAATTGTAGCTTTTATGGGTATTATTATTGGCTACATTCCTGGGTCTTCTCATGCAGCGACTTGCTGCAAGACTAGGTGTTGTAACAGGAATGCACCTGGCCGAGGTGTGCCACTCTTTTTACCATAAAATACCAAGACTCATTCTTTGGATAATGGTTGAGATAGCTATTATAGGTGAGCTGAAAAGAGTTTCTTTGAATATCAAAGATTTTTTTTTTTTCTCCAACCATTTTTTTTAATTTTATGTTATTTATTAATGGCTAAGGTTTCTTTTAACTTTTAATGTTTCTTGTTTTTATTTATTTTTAATTTAAACTGTATTATTATTTCTGAGAGCTACTGAACAGCTTGAAGGCCTATTGTTGAAGTATTCATAAAAATGCTATTTTTCAATATCAAATTGCAATAGTCATATGTTGCATTGATATGTCAAACAATGTACTTATTTTTTTCTTTTTCTAATGGACATTTACATGTTTTCAAGCAGTGCATATATGTGGGTACAACACCTGTAATAACATTTTATTTGAATTTTAAGTTGTTTGGAAATTGTCATAAAATATAAAGATAAATCCTTATACTTTTTTTATTTTTTATTTTTTATTTTCATGAGTTACTAGCAGGGTTACCCAGCATTGCATGTGTATGAAAGTCATACCAGTAATGTACAAACTCATGATAAACAAAGTAATATTTATTTAAACCTGATGTTGTTTTTGCCTGGCTTAAACTACAATATTTAGATGTTTAAAACATATTTTCTGATTCATTATATTCCAAGGAAGGTTTCTTTTAATATTTAATTTAAATATTTAATTATTTAATTATTTAAATATTTTAATATATTTTCTGATTCATTATATTTCAATATTTATACAATATTTAATTATGTATGTTTCAATAATACAATCTTTTAAATGTTTAAAACATATTTTCTGATTCATTATATTCTAAGGAAGGTTTTAATAAATAATTTATTTCTCTACTCTTTATATGTTGAAATATTTGTAAATTAAAACATTTTTTTTTCATTTTAATTTGGTAATTTTTTTTTTTTCACTTAATGGATAAAAAGTGGAAATTTGCTTTTGTAAGAAAAGAGAGCCTCTTGAATAGTAATTTTAGACAAATGAACCACTTATTTATTTTATTTATTTAATTTTTACTCATGTATTTAATCTTTTCATTTTCAATTAAATTTAATTTTTGTCATTTATTTTAAAAAAATAATTGAATAATGTAGGGTTTGTGTATGTAAATAAATAGAACTTTTTTATTGTTTTATATTTGTATAGATAAAATAATAATTTTTTAATAATAATTTTGAAATTCCCCCTTTTGTTAAACAAAAAGTAGAGAATATTCTACAACTCTGTAGTGATATGTAGATTAACTAATTAGCATATCTGGAATAACCAGGCTATATAATTAATGTCTCTGATTAGAAGAGGGACTACGCATGAGCACTAACACAAAGGATTTAGGACTTCACAACAATGGTGTTGCCAATAAGATACACTTTATCATTAGAGAATCCTGATTTTGTGGATGCATGGATAAGAACATTTAAAGTGAGGACTAAGAAATTAAGGGACAGCAAAGAGATGAGAGGAGAAAATGAAATAAACAATGTTTTTTTGGCCACAGCTGGGGTCGAAATCATTATGAAAATTTCATCTATAGCTTGCCCAATGCAATTGGAAAGTTTGACTTTTGACAAAATAAGTCGGATTATACAGAAAAATAGGTGACCAAAAAAGAGGTTAGTCATTGCAGAGAGAGCAAAATTCATGGATTACGAGACAAGAAGCTGATGAATGTTGTGAGTTTGAAAAACTCTGCAAAGAATGCCAAACAACTGAAGAATTAATTCAGATGAGGTTAATTGACAATTGGATACCAGCAACTAAGTAACGGCAATCCCTAGAAACTTTTGGGAGCATATAGGCAGACCAAAACTACATAAGAACCATATGCAGCTACACCAATTTGAGGAGTCAGTTATAAAAATGTTGGGATATTTTGAAGTTTCTGTAGAATTGAAAAACAAATTTGAAATAATACTCATCATTGTTGCAGATTGCAAAAAGAATCCTGGACTTGGAAATGAAATATTTAACATAAATTATAAAAAATTAATTAATGCAGTAAAAATGAAAGAAATAGGCATGTTGAAAAACTATAAAGCCAGCCTAAAGTTAAAAGAAAATGTTACCTCCTCCTGTTATGAGGCACAGAAACTTATCATTAATAGTAGCAAAACTAAGGAAGTTGGTTGAACAAGACCTACTGGAATCAGTTCATCTTGGCAGAAGCAAATGGGTGTCCCCAAATGTAGTTCTGATGAAATAAGATGGATACTTATGCATATGTGGTGTTTATAAAGTAGGAGTGAATCATAAAGTATGCACAGATTCATATCCTATGCCAAATGTGGAAGTGACCTTACATTCTTTAGCAGGATCTAGATTTTTAATAAAATAGATTTACAAACTGGGTATCATCAGATACACAGACCTAAAAATTTTGATAGGTTGATTAAACTGGAAAAGAATAGGATAAAGAGGGCAAGGGTTTTTTGTTGTTTTTATTTAAAAAAAGGCTATTGAATAAGTCATAAGGTATGGTATAAAAAATTTGGTTTGTTATCAAGATGACATTTGCATAGGTGCTATCAATGAAGGAGAATTAAAAAGGAAAATGAGCCTCATTTTAAATAGGTTCAGGAGTGCAGGAATGAAAATAAACAAAAAAAAATGTGTACATAATAGTAATAAAGTATCGTTTTTGGGATTTTCCATTTCAAAAGAAGAGGTGTCATCAGATCAAACATTAACAGAAAAAATTTTAAGTACTAAATACATTCCAGTTCTTTTTTATTTGTGGGTACTACACCAACAAATAAAAAAGAAGTGGAATTTTTTTTTTGGGTGGGGGGATTAGTAAATTTTTATCAGTGATATGTACCATGTTATACAGATTTAATTGAATCATTTGCCAAGCTAAGCTGAGAAAAAAATCTTGATTTTGTATGGATAAAAAAAAGGGGAAATGCTTTTAATAAGCTAGAGTCAATCCTTGCAAACAAACTAATGATAAAAAATATTTGATTCCAAAAAGGAAATTACAGTAATTACGGACATCAGTAAGCATTCAATATCGGGAATATTATCCTAAGAAGGGCATCCAATAATGTATCTATCAAGAAGATTGACAAAAGCTGAATTTAATTATTCAAACACTGAGAAAGAAGCTCTTGCGATTATTTGGACGACAACTAGGGCTCATCAATTCTTAATTAGGAAAAAAATTTCTATTAAGGTCTGATCATAGACCATTAGGATTTATATTCAATCTGAGAAAAGAACTACCCAAAGTCAAGACATCAAGGATATTAAGGTGGGAGATAATATTCATGGCTTTTGATTTTGATATAGAATATGTCAAAGGAAATATGATACTTCACGTGGATGCCTGATCAAGGTAGCAATTTCACAAGTCATCAAACAATAACACAGAAGAAGTTTCTGAGGACATCTTTTTACATATAAAATCGTCTTTCTGCCCTAAAGCAATTACTCCATTTATTATTTCTTTTTAGATATTATGCTGTTTAGTAGTGGGTCTTGTGTAGTTTCTGCAGCCATTCTATCCACAGACAAAATATCAGTACCTAAGATTCGAAGAAATAAGAAATAAATTGACAATTGAGAATGGAGTAGTTTGTAATTGCAAGTTAGTGATCCTTCCAGAAACACAAATCTGGTAATAAAGTGTACATGATGATGTATACTGTGGAATAGTGACCACGCAAAAAAGTTAGAAGCCAGGATATTCACAAGAGGTGGGGGAATATATAAAAAGATGTCCAAAATGTAAAGAAATAAGGAACTTTATGAAAAGTTCATGGATACCTCAAGTGCTGAACAAAAACAAAACCTACTCTTGCAGGATGAAATGTCTGATGAAGAAATGTCTACAGATAAACATAAGGATGATCAAGAGGGACAATATGATTTGGAAACTGAGGAAGACCAGTCAATGCACAAATGAAGTCATGAGAACGAGAGAAAATGAGACAGATAAAGAACTCTCAGAAAGAAATACCTTAAGATCTCAGGAGAGAGAGAGAAAAAAACCCTGAAAACAAAATGATAGAGGAAGCACAAGAAAAACAAGGCCCATGAAACCCCTCATTATAGGGAGATATAGTGAGATGTAGATTAACTAATTAACATATCTGGAATACCCAGGTTATATAATGACTCCAATTGGGAGGAGGAGGGACTACACATGAGCATTGAGTAGTAACACAAAGGACTTAGGACTTCACAACAAATTCATTCATTAATTTTGCCACTGTTTATTTAAAAATAATTGAATGATATGAGATTTAAACTGGAAACACTAAAACATCAGTATTTTTTCTACATTTTCTTATACTATTATATATTTTTTTTTATTTTACAAGTATCTTCACTTGTATAAAGAGTACAGAAATAAATTATTTATCAAAACCTTCCTTGGAATATGCTGAATCAGAAAATATATAATGATTTTGAGGGTCTAAATATTGTAGCTTTGGAGTTTAAATAGTTTCATACATACATGCAGTTTAAGGTCTTTTTATTAAAGAATAAATTACAAATTTCAGACAAGATTAGCTTAATTGTTGAAGGTGGTTATAGTAAATAAATTAAGCAAAAAACTAAGATTACAGGAAAATGTAATTAGTCAAAATATATTACTTAAAACTAAATCAAATAAATTATCTACATAGAACAAGTAATATACTTTGAATCTGATTTAAAGTATAAATGAAACTGCAATTGTTTTTTTAATATAATTTTCATTAAATATCAACTCCATTTCTTTTTTTTGTTGTTGTTTTTATTTTTAAATTCCAATGAAAAAAAGGCAGAATATTAATTTGACAAAGAAAATTTTTTCAGCCTTTGTTGGTACTCCAATCCATAGCTGTTTCCATTGGACCAAGCTAGCACAGTATCAATAGAATTGTTAAGCCTGTTAGAACTGTGGAGGTATTTAAACATTCTCATGAAATGTTTCCACTTAATATTTAGTAAGCAGCAAGTCAAATTTTTATGATTATTCCAGGAGCTTTTTGAATACCTCTCTTGATTAACTACAAATAACTTCTGGTTTGAGTTGTA